GGGGGGGGGGGGGGGGGGGGGGGGGGGGGGGGGGGGGGGGGGGGGGGGGGGGGGGGGTTGCCGTCGGTGACTCGAAAGCGAACCAGATATGCTTCTTCTTGTGTGTTGTCTGAATACTCGACCCCACAATGTTATTGAGACGGCAAGGGGGAGCGATAGAGTCAGAGGCCAAGGCGTGTCGTGTCTGTTTAAGATTGCCTGGAGGCTTACACAGCGGCGTTGTTTTAGTACGAAAGCACGAAAATATTTCTTTCAAGTCAACGTATTTTGACTGTGGATAAACTCGGGGCTATGGTTTACTTGCCGGTGCCGCTTGCCCCGAAAGCGTTTGATGCACCCAGACCTGAGATAGAAGTAGTCCCGCCGCACAGACTCTGCACCAAGACCGTTTACCATCCAACAGCGACCTAGCTAGGCCGATTCCAAGCATCACCAACCGAGCACCTACCCATGCCACGTACCAACCTAGCACATATCGTACGCAACACCAACCGAGCACATGCATCGGCGACACCAACCTACATAGCACCAAGGCCGGCTAACCGACCTATCCAACCAACGCCAACTTAGCTGTCACGCGTGGGTTTGGGGTTCACGTGTGGGTTGCAGTTAGGGTTGGGTCCACAGGTATAGAGCTAAGGAGCCGGTGTCTTCATGTCCCGGCCATCTGATTGAGAACCTGACCAGCGGGCTCCTTGGCCGAAGGGTTGGACTACCCCCCTAGGACCCTAAGTTCGAGACTTTTCTCTTGTTGTGTTGCCCTGCATGAGAAGTGTTGCGTTTCCGTGCACGAAGAGTGCTCGTATTATCTTGTCCGCGTTCATGGCATCTTGAGCCCCCCTGTGTGCATGAAATATTATCGCGCTTTTCCCCGTCTGAAACAATCCGTGTCCCAGGTTACTTGCATGCTTCGAGGGCACGATTCGCGTTCTAGTTATTTTTGTACTCTGCTATTTTCGAGTCAGGCATCCCCCACAGCAGCATGGGTCGCTGGAACACATGCACGCGGTGCTAAACGCGGCTTGGGACCACGCTGAGAGAAACGCGAGGCCGGCGTGAAACGAATCCAAACCACACGCATGTGTCTATTTTGTTCGCGAGCATGAAAAGCTCTTGCACGCAGGCAGCAGTAGTTGGTGGGTACCGTACAGCCTGTCCGTCAAACCATAACCGCTGCTGCTGTCGGTGTCGGTGGACACGTTGTTACACTACTGCTGCACTGTGATGGTTCGACTCTTCGTCAGTAGATACTGCTGTGTGGGATATCCGATAAACAAGAGACAGACAAAAAAAAACATGTGGTGTATTGCGATATCTTGTGGCCTACCCGCGGGCTCAAGTGCATTATGAGGCTGGGTTCACCCGTCGCGGCCAACTCTATTCAGCGTGTAATCAAGACAGCACCAGCTGACAGCTCAGCCACGGCAGTCAGTCACATTCCAAGCGGGAAAAGGCGATGACATCAGAACTGGTCAGTCTGTTGATGCACGTGTTATTCTATCCGACAAGCTATCTGTGCGAGCTTGGAAGCTTACCTCCGAACAAGCGCGATTGCGGCAGCCCATTGAGTGGAAGGCCTCATGATCACAAAGGAAGGTACCGGGGAGAGCAACGTGCTGTTAGAGCGGTGAGTTGTTGCAGAAACCGCAGCAGGGGAGAGAAAACATGAGGGAGGGAGTAAAGAAGCAACAAAGGGGGAACTGCGGTATAGAAACAGTATGTACCCCGCGCCAATGAGTTGCATCCGTCCACAGCAGACCAGGCACAGCACAGCAGGCGCAAGAGAGAAGTACAATAAGCGGGGAGAGCGCTTACACGCTTAGACTCTATCGTGGGTGCAGATCGGTAAGCGTGCGACGAATGTATTCGGTTCCCATCGTAGGGCGTGCAACTTCTTCTCTCAAACTCCAAATGTGTGTGTAGCATTGTGCAGTTCAGCATCGTAGACTGCAGGTACTCCTGTTGCAGAACCGCACGATACATTAGTGTGCTTGCTGCAATGTTTGTATCCTATGAGACAAGGAGGAGTACCCTCTACCTTGTTCCAGCCAACGAGTTGACGTCGCACTTGCCCGTATCTCTGCGCCTCTATACGTGAATCCTCCTCTCTGCTGTCTCGCGTGCTGAGGGTATGTACGTGTTTCCATCTCCTCACCTATATACAATTTAGCTTGAAGGGAATTCCTGCAAGGGACAACACCGGCGGCGCGCGTCTCTGCCACTGCAACAGCAGCACAGAGGACCCGGCTTGATTGGTTCTGTTCAGTTTGCTCTGCTGTCGGGCCACCGCGTCTGCCGCTACTGCCGTACCTCAACAAACGCAGGAGAAGCTGCCGCTGGATTTATTTTTTGCTCCGTTTGTTCCGCTCCTCTGTGGGGTGTCCCCCAACGGAGACGATGTCGTCCACGATGCGATCTCCGGAGATCACGCGCTCCCCGGCGCGAGTTGCGGACGCGGGCGCGGGCGAGAGGAATCTTCAGTCGATCGGGAGACAGCGATCGCTAGTAGAAGACCACCCAGATAGCGAGAGGATCCCCGCGAGAACAGTGTGCGCGGCGTTCTCTCTCCTCGTCCTCGGACTGGTGAGCAGCAAGGAGGCGTATAGGTTATGTAAGATACCACACACCCCTGCGAACAGATTGTCAAAGCTTGATTACTCCACCACGGAGAGGTAAACAGAACCAAAATATGTGTCTTCGGAGCTCTCGACAAGATGGGTCCAGTGCCGCAAATTTCGGCGCCACCACTACTATTTTTTTTTTTGATGCGGAGTGATCGAGCTTTGAAAATGGTCCAAGCGGGGTGTGGTATCTTGTGCAACACATGCATACGGTAGAGCATATATCGCTTTTGCAAAAGATACACGTTTCTAGAAAATTGCAACCAAAAAAACCACCCGTTCGAGATATAACCACATTGGTGGAAGGGGGTGCGTTTAAGTCTTCACAGTGGATGGAAGAAAAGCCGGTTGGCTTCTACTGAGTCTGTTTCCCGTCGCGTGGGTTCAGCTTGAGAGGTGAAGACTAAAGAGAGAGCGAGGGAGACCGAGAGGCAAAGACTTGTGAGAAGACAAGAGACACAGCACAGAGAGGGGGGAATTGGAAGCGTGCTGCGTAGGGTTTTATCTCTTCGACTGGGCGCGATGAGTGGTCGCACGTTGCTTCACTGAGTAGCACTAGTTGCCGTGCTTGGAGGATGTTCCTTGCTGGGAGTGCCGTGGGTCTGTGGAATGACACATGATAGTGCTATGTTGCAGGCGATGTAGCGTCGTTCTCTGGACAAGCACAAGACGATTCGAAACCCTGGCCCATGCAGGCAAAGCGCCTGTTGACTGGTGCGGGTGCCATCCCCATGTCGTTCGAAATTCGTCGCGAAGACGATACCGTTGTTGTTGTTGTTGTTGTTGTTGTTGTTGTTGTCTTCAAACTCTTGCGGTCGCTGCTCAGAAGTACCCTCATGTTGCCATGCAATTATTCGAAGTCGGTACCCGAACCCTTGAACATTCGACGAACGAAGGCGGGGAGGATAGCGTTTTGTCACGTTTCTAAGTACATCTGTAAAATGTATATGCTGGCACACATCGAACCGTGATGTTTTGCACGAGGTGTGTTGTGCAGGGCAAACGCGTGCGTGTTGGTTCGGAAGTACGATCCGGCGCCCGATGGTGTTGGTTGCTGGCCTGTCGGGCGCGCGTAGGCACTGGGCCGGTAGAAGAAGTGTGCATGGCGTAAAGGCCGCTTAGAAGTGCCGAAATCTATCCAAACACGCTGTCTCTCCTCGTCGCTAAGTAGTTTGACATGGCGTCAATCATTTATTTTGGGAACCCTCATGGGATGATCATTTTTCCTGTGTTCCTATCTCTCATCCTGGTTCGCGCACGCTGTTTCAGATCCTGTTGTGCGTGAGCGCAAATTTCTTTGCAATGAAACACCCTGGTTCGGTTGCCTTCTTGGTGCTCGGAATCGTCGGTAAGTGCAATGCTATTCGCGTCTGTGGGGAGGGGGGAGAGTGGAGGAAGGACGACCTTCGCTCCTCACGCAATCGCCGAACCTTGGAGGGCGCTTTTTGCATGCTCGTCCTTTCGCGGCTACATCGCGTCCCCAAAACCGAAAATATTAAAACACGCAAATCAAAACACAAACAAAACACACGCAATACGAAAATATTAACTAGGAGTAGACTATATAATAGTACCGCGCGATTCATGTATATATATAATGTATGCCCCCTTACAATTCAGGCTGTGATTGTAGGCTCCCGCAAGAGGGAGTTAGTTACCTACATTACGACCTTCTTTTTTCGTTTTGGAACTCTGTGGCGTTGGGCATTTGAGGGCCGTGCGCCTCCCGTTCCTTGCACTATGTAGTACCATATGAACATGTACCGAACGAGTTGTCACTGCGCAGTTTTTGGCGTGATCATGTTGGTGTTGGTTCTCCTCTCCTAGCCGGTCGGCGCTGCAACATCACGGTAGTACAGTAGTAGCGCCCAACCTCGTCACCCAAGCGTGCGGCCGTCGCACACCCTTCCCGCATCCCCTGCTGCAACCTCCCCTTCAGTGCAATCGATGAGAAATGTATGTTCGCTTCCTTTTGTCATGGTGCCTATTTTTATCTCGAAAAACCTCCTACCTTTAGGGGTAAGTAACTTATTGAAGCACAAGTAAATTATATTGAAGTGTAATTTTTTTTGTTTCCTCGATGACGACATCCCCCGATCCGCCTCCGCCCGTGCACGCGCGCTCAGTTATCATTCCGGGGGCGCATAGCAGCTTTCAGCTCTTCGCGGCGTTCCGACGATGGCCGGGGTACGACTTCGATGACATGCGCGGGAGCGGAGATTTTGTTTGATTGTTTTTCTTATTTCAGCGTCTTGTGTACAGAAGGGCCAGCACTCAGGCGCGGTGGCGACAAAGGGGTGGGGGGGGGGACGCACCCCACGTGGGGGGAGGGGGGGGGGG